TCGAAGATATAATAATTTTCAGACAACCGATATTATAGAATAGGGTGAGAACATTTCAGATTTGACAAGACACACAAGCATTCCAGCTGATTTCATCACATATACTTAGTGGAAACTTGGGTATGATATTCGGAAACTAAATTCAAAATGTTTATCATCAAATTGGCATGTGCGGACGGCAGAATCACTAGGTATATAGGATTTCAATAGCCATGAAGAAGTGTACTCGATATTTTTTCTATTTTTCGTTCAATTCTTAAGATTGACTTCCACTTTGATTTCAACACTTGGGAAAAATCGAATATTTTGGGAATTTTTTGAGGCTGAAGCATATTTATATTCTGTGTTCAATATATAGTATGATATTTAAGTATGTGGCCAAACTTCAAGGGATGATTATTTGGGCGATTCGATGACGAAATGTTTACATGAACATATAGGTCCGCATATACATTGTTTCGAAGATACTTGGTGTAAGACTAAAAAATCCGTTTTTCGTATGAATATTATTTCGTGGAAATCCTTCATTTAATTTTGCTGAAGTTGTGCATTGTCATTTCAAGTTGAAAGGACAGACGCATCCATCGGAATCAGATTCACGAAAAATGCATTTTATCGAAATAGTTTGTCACCCTGTATGCATTTTCGGGTCTATATTTACTAAAACATTTCGTCGTCTCGAACCACCCAAAATGACACTGTCTTGAGTTTGGCGATGCCTTGAGAAGAAAATCAGTGAAAAAAGTTTCTAGAAGCAGCCATTCGGGAGCATTTATCCAGCGTAACAATCTTTTTTATATGTATGTCTTTTGCAACAACGAATTTCATCAATGGAGACGTTTCTGTATTTGTTCATACTGTATTTCAGTTCAATTTAGGTTCTTATTGAAAACGCTAGATTTCTTCGTTCTGACCATACCCCATGGTGCAACAGTTTATTGATATTTTGGCGAAGGCACACGAATAAAGTTTCAATGGTGAAGACGTTTGTAAAGACCGTACTCATTCAAGTTTTTCAGGTTTGCATTGAGAATATTATACCATACACAATCACTTTATCATGTCTCAGGTTGATTGAGCTGAAAACAGAAGGATTTTTTTCCGATATCACCACACCACACACCTCACACCTCCGTTTAGTTGTAGTTTGGCGAAGGCACCATGATAAAGTTCCCAAATTTAATGTTTTTCCAGTGCTTCAACTAAAATATTCTCTGCAAATTTCGATAATACCGGAAATGGGCTCCAACTACGTTATTTTGAACGTTGAATTCCAATGTAACTGACTATATATACAGGGTGTTGATGTTTTTATCTATAACGTCCCTGTATAAACTTTCATGGTGCCAAAATTCAGTATGATTAGAGACTGAAAAAGTCCAAAAATTTCAAAATGAATCCTATTGAGGTTATTGAGTAATCTCAATGAATGTTTCGAGAGCACCGACATTAAAATTTGAGGTCAAATCGAATTTTTATTGTTTCTCAAATATTAAGCGAGATACAGAAGAAACACACAGGTTAAGAAAGTTGATATTTCAATTGTTCATTCTAAAAATATGGAAGTCAGACAAACCAGTGGCGTACAATGATATATATAGTTTGGGTTTCGAAAAATATTGTTCCTTTGTAAGGTTCTATACATTTGTCAAATTATGAATGAAATCGCATTGGAATTCAACGTAGATTCCAAAAATTCAATAAAAATAGTACATTCCATTCGAAATAACGAAGTCGAGTTCCATTTCCGGTATTACCAAAAATTGCAGGAACCTAAAAATATTTTAGTCTAAGTAGTTTCACATATAATATACATATCGAGTCAGCTTGTCGTGCACGAAATACCTGGTACATAATATCCGGTATTCGAATTCAGTCAAGGTTCGCATTGATCATGTTGATCATTTTCGACCTTTTTATATTATTGGTTCTCAGCATTGTCAAAGAAGCTAAAACGCTAGGAATTTTTTGCGTATTTTGTTTGTGTTTTGGTGAAGGCCCCATATCAGTTAATCTGTATTTTGGCGAAGGCACAGAATTAAGTTTCACCATCATTGGAATAAAAAAATAATACCCTGGGTGCACAATAATAATTGACCCTGTGTCGATAAACGTTGGCAAGTGCAAGTAGGTTCAGATTATTTGATAAGTGAAATAGTAACTTCTAATCCAGAATCTGTTCTGTTCTTTAATATGTCATAATTCAAAAACCAAAGTTTATGAAGGGTGTTTCAAAATTCTGGATCAACATTCCAGGGGCTTATTTTTCAAGTCAACATGAAACTTTTTTTCTACTGGGTGGACCAATAGTGTGACAAAGCGAGATTGCAGCTCTGCTATCAGAGATGGAAGAACAAAAATTTTACAGGAGCGGTAGGTTCAAATGATGCATATTTCAAATTATCCTTCATTATACATGGTGTCTCAAAAAAGTGTGACTTATCAAACTTATGTTTTTTCGAATGGAACCCCTGTATTTTATTGCATTTTTATATTTCCTCTGAAGAGCTGAACTCAAAGATCTAGCACACTCGGGGTCTCACGGAAATGATTACCGAGATATTGGGTGTGGAAAATCGAGATTTTTCAACTTTGAAAATTATTTGGGTCGAAACTATTCATCATTAGTCAAAAGGGCTTTCAATATCCCTATTTCAACTTTTGATTTACCATCTACTCATATTTCATTGGAACAGATACAAGGTGGTGCAGAACTCAGAATTCTACATCACCCTGTATTTGTTTCAATTGAATGTCAGTAAATATTAAATCAAAAGTTGAGATAGGGAAGTCGTTTTGACCATTAATGAATAGTTTGGTCACAAAAAATTCCCAAAGTTGAAAAATCTTGAATTTCCGCACCCTATATCTTGGTAATCATTCCTGTCAGACCCCAAGTGTGCTAGATCGTTGAATTCAGCTCTACAGAGATAATATAAATATGCAATGAAATACAGAGTGTTCCATTTAAAAAAACATAAGTTTGATATGTCACACTTTTTTGAGACACCCTGTAGAATGGAGAATGATTTTAAAATATGTATCTCTTAGACTTACAACTCCTGTGGAAATTTTTTTCTTCTATCTCTAATAGCAGAGTTGCTATCTCGCTTTGTCACACTATTGGTCCACCCTGTATAAGTAAACATGTGTCCGTGAAAGTTTCGTTAGCGATCTACAGGGCGTTAAAGCTATAAGGTTTCTATTTTTTACTAGCTGACCCGGCAAACGTTGTTTTGCCATAACATTATTTCTATAAAAAATGTTTTTACATAAATATTAATCAGAAAACTTTCATTATTTTATTTATACTTCTTTTTAGTTCGGCTTTCCATGAAAACGAGATTCTTCAGTTTTTCAAACAATTCTACTTATTCTCTTCTTCTTTTCAGTTCGGTACTCTATACCTTTTTATTTTTTCATTTATTTACTACTCACTTCTTTTTAGTTTGACTATCTATAAAAACGTGTTTCATTAGTTTTTCAAACTACTATTTATTACAATAGCTGATGCTGATACCTGGCACACGTTGTTTTGCTATATACATTTTCTTCTAGAAAATATTTTTTTTAGTTGAATATTCATCAGCACACTTTTATTATTTTGTATTGAACTTCTTTTTAGTTTGGATATCCATGAAATCGTGTTTCATTAGTATTTCAAACTACTATTTTTATTTTCTACTTCTTTTTAGTTCGACAATCTATCTCGTTTTTTAAACTATACTATCGATTGTCTACTTCTATTCAGTTTGGCCTCGAGTTTGGCTATCTATAAAAGCGTGTTTCATTATAGTTTTTCAAACTACTATTTATTACAAAGCTCTTTCACCATATTGGATCCGTCATCTTGAATTTACCAATTTCAAGAATGAAATCATAATCTCCGACCCCGAAAACCCCCAGGTACAGATTTTCAATAGAATCGGAACATAATTACAAAACTCGTCCGCCATATTGAATCCTCCATCTTTAATTTCATAATTTTGATGAAAATGAAAAAAAAAAGATACAAATTATGAATGGAATCGAATCATAGTTACAGTACTGGTCCGCTATATTGGATCCGCCATCTTTGAATTTCCAAATTTTGACAAAAGAATCATTATCTCCGACCCCGAAAACCACCCGATACCAATTTTGAATAGAATTTGACCATAATTACAAAAGTCGTCCGCCATATTGAATCCGCCATTTTGAATTTCCCCATTTTGACAAATGATTCATATCTCTGACCTCTAAAACCTCCAGATTCCAATTTTGAATAGAATCTGACCATAATTACAAAACTCGTCCGCCATATTGAATCCGCCATTTTGAATTTCCCCATTTTGCCAAATGATTCATATCTCTGACATCTAAAACCTCCAGATTCCAATTTTGAATAGAATCTGACCATAATTACAAAACTCGTTCGCCATATTGAATCCGCCATTTTGAATTTCCCCATTTTGACAAATGATTCATATCTCTGGCCTCGAAAACCCCCAGATACCAATTTTGAATGGAATCTGACCATCATTACAAAACTCGTCCGCCATATTGGATCCGACATTCTGAATTTCCTAATTTTGATGAAGAAGTCATAATCTCCGAACTCGAAAACCTCCAGATACCAATTTTGAATGGAATCTGACCATAATTACAAAACTCGTCCGCCATATTGGATCCGCCATTCTGAATTTCCAAAATTTGACGAAAGAATCATAATCTCCGACCCCGAAAACCTCCAAATACCAATTTTGAATGAAATCGGATAACAATAATCGTCCGCCATATTGGATCCGCCATCTTGAATTTTCGATATAAAAAATAGATTACGACCGATTCTCATACCCACCAAATACGCACAAAAAATTTCATACGAATCGTTCGAGCCGTTTCGGAGGAGTTCGACCACTAACACCGTGACCGGGACAGGAGAATTTTATATATAAGATAGATTTATATTCCTTTCCGTTTTCGGGATTTTCAAACTAACTCGTCTATTTTTTTTACAGATGAGCCCCCTGAACCTGCTAGCAGCCACCTGCAACCGCATGTACCCCCACCAACCTTACACCCCCCACACACAGCTCTCCCCAGCGTCGACTACCTCGTGCAGCAGCGACGGCTACGTCTCCCAATCAACCCTGGAAACCTCCAGGTCCCCCCTGGAATACTCACCTCACTACCAACCCTCCTACAGCCACACCTACCCCAACCAGTACTGGTTCCAGCATTCTCCACCTCCAGCGGACCTCGCAACCAGCGGGTACCAACCCCAGCAAACCATGAGTCACCATCAGTACCAGTGGCCTCAAAGCAATTACATGAGTTCTTTCGCCTCCAAGATGATGATAAAGCCTGAGATAGGGGTCGGGGATTATGGTACCTACTCTTCCAAGGCTAGGAGATGCATCAAATGCCAGTGTCCTAACTGCATCAACGAGGAAAACGGGCTGAGGAAGCCTTCCTCCAAGAAACTGCACATCTGCCACTACCCAGGCTGTGATAAGGTGTACGGGAAAACCTCTCACCTCCAAGCCCATTTGAGGTGGCACACAGGAGAAAGGCCCTTTGTGTGCAACTGGTTGTTTTGCGGTAAAAGGTTCACCAGGTCGGACGAGCTACAAAGACATTTGAGGACACACACTGGGGAGAAGAGGTTTGCTTGCAGCATCTGCTCCAAGAGGTTCATGAGGTCTGATCACCTCACGAAGCATATCAAGACGCACAAGAATGGAAGCAGCGGTGCCAAGAAAGAGGAAGGGGAAGTTCAGAAGGAGGAGGAGAGTTCGAGTTCGTCGCCCGTGCTTAAAGAGGATTCCAGCAAGAACCAACAAAGTGTGGGGCCAAGTGTGCAGCAGACTTTCTCGCAAAATTATTCTCAGAGTCAGCTACCTCAGTACAGTGCGCATCATATACTGCATCCTGGGTCTAGTTTGTATGGTTATCAGGGGCTTTATTACCCGGGAATTAATGAACAATGAGTGTCCAAACTACGAGGAAATCAAGATGTTCTAGCACTCCTACAAGAAACTGAACACCTGCCACTGCCCAGGCTGTGGCAAGATCTTCCACCTTAGAGCGCACTTGATGTGATACACAGGAGAAAGGCCTTTCTTGTGCAACTGGTTGTTTTGCGGTAAAAAAAACATCAGGTCAGACGAGCTGCAGAGCCATTGAAAAACACAAACTGGGGACAAGAGGTTTTCTGGCAGCATCTGCTCTAAGAGGTTCATGATAAGGTCTGATCTCCTCACGAAGCACATCAAGACCCACACGAATAAGGGATACGTTTGCCAAGAAAGAGGATGAGGAGGTTCAGTCTGTTAGTCGCCTGCGCCTAAAGATGATTCGAGCAAACACTAAGAAAGTGTGAGGCCAAGTGTGAAGCAAACCTTTTGGCAAATTTTCCTCAGAGTCAGCTACCTCAGTACAGTGCGCATCATATACTGCATCCAGGGTCTAGTTTGTACGGTTATCATGGGCTTTATTTTGAACAATGAGTTTCAGTTATGTGATGAAGCGAATTTGGGGCCAGTGTAAAAGTACAGGGTGAGTCAGGTTTAATCCGTACAACATCGACAATCCGGGGAATTTATTTTGGTTTCATGCTGCCAGCTACTATTCTTATACAAGGTGGCCCATCGAAAATAGATCGCAAGGTTTTACAGGTAACAAGCCCAACACAACCTTCATTTCCCTGAGTGGAGGTGCCATCCCCGAATTTTTTTTCAAATTGTTATGAAGGTCAGGTGATACCTCATTAATAAAAAGCTTTCAATACCCTATACAGTTATGCAATTAAACAATTATATATGTTTGACGACAAATTCACAAATCGATTCAATTTTACTAATGAGGTTCAAAGCAGAAAAATCAGCAGAGGAATTTATTTGAATATTATGGAGAGATTTTTAGAGAATTCAAATCGGATTTTTTATTTTTCGTCAGATGTATTGTTACGAAAGCGTAGAAAGGCCACTGTTGTGTGTATTCTATTTTATTTCTTTATTCAGACTTTAAAGTCTGAATTCAGACTTTTTTCTCTGAATTCAGACTTTCTTCTTTGAATACAGTCTCTTTGCATGCCATGCTACCCAACCATTGTTGAGTTAGTATCGTTAATGTCGAATATAGTTCTCGAGTTATTGATGATCTATTTAATCATCAATCTTGCATTATATCAGAAGGATTGATTTGGTCATAAGTTATACTATTTTGGCAGCACTTATGCTGTCAACTACCCTATGAAAAGTGAGACTCACCATATATATTATATAAACTATATTCTCGCTTTTTATATAGGGTATAAATATATTTGAATAAGCATCACATCATTTATTATAGACGTTTTGACGTAGTGACCTGCAAATAATAATAAAATTAATCAACCCCATGAAAAATAAATGACATAAAAGGTAGGTACTTACTGAAATCAGTGTATTACCCTCGGTATTACCTAATGTGAATGTGTTATTCAATGAATTAATAGAAAAAAGTCTGAATTAATAGAAAAAAGTCTGAATTCAGAGAAAAAAGTCTGAATTCAGACTTTAAAGTCTGAATTCAGAGAAAAATGTCTGAATTCAGAGAAAAAAGTCTGAATTCAGAGAAAAAAGTCTGAATTCAGACTTTAGAGTCTGAATTCAGAGAAAAAAGTCTGAATTCAGAGAAAAAAGTCTGCATTCAGACTTTAAAGTCTGAATTCAGACTTTAAAGTCTAAATTCAGACTTTAAAGTCTAAATTCAGACAAAAAAGTTTGAATTCAGAGAAAAAAGTCTGAATTCAGAGAAAAAAGTCTGAATTCAGACTTTAAAGTCTGAATAAAGAAATAAAATATAATACACACAACAGTGGCCTTTCTACACTTTCGTATATTGTTGATTTTTTTGAGCTTCATATCATCTCAACGGGTAAATACATTGTAAAAAATTGAGCAACAACGTTAAGAATATCGAGAGTCCTTTTCAATGTGGTATCTGCCGACTTCCATTTTCATTGTCAGTGTCACTTCCGCCCCCCCCCCCCCCCCACTCAGGTGAATGTTTCACTATGCTTTTTTCGTCAAAAACGTTGATGTGATATTGGATTTTGTCGAGAAATTTTCCCAGCCATGCGGTACGTTTTCCATAGGCCACATTGTATACCTACAGAGCATTATAAAATTACGATATATATTAGGTGAGAATATTTCATTTTGCATTTTCTATATTGAAATTGAGAGTATGGGTGTTTGAAAGAGGTTCACTGGCAACATTAAGTGTCCTTTTATTTCATGTTTTTGGGTTACTTATCGTTATTCAGGTATACTCTTTACATATTCGAATGTAGACAGGTTGGATTTGACTCATCCTGTATAATGAAATATCGATGTAAATATGTATTTATAAATTATGTTTAATATTGATGATTTGTATAGAATTTAATATTTTGTTAATAAATGCCATAATCTTTGTATATCTCACTATTAATTAATCATTATCTATAATCTAATAATTCACCATGATGAAGATAACGAATACTTCAAATTAACTTTCAAATCACTGCTTACCCTATCTTTATATCGGAAAACAGTACCAAGAAATTCATGAAAATGTGCATGCTAATATTTGAGATTACGTTCTATTCGTTTGAAATATTTTCGACAATGCAGAGTTGCCACTTCTACTAGAAAGTCGCAACAACTTTGTTATTTCAAATTGAAAACCGAGGGGGCGACCACTCTCTGCAATACGTGTACATTTGGTCTGAAATCACTTGCAATCGTCACTGAAATCCCCTGAAATCCCGCAGTCAATTTGCAATCGCCGAAATCCCTATCTGCAATCGCCGAAATCCCGCAATGGCTTTCACAATCGCTTCCGCAATCGCGAAATTCATCGAATTCAATGATGGGGATATGACCATTTGCGGTAAACCAACGAAAGTATATTATATTTTATGTTGTTTGTCGGTTATACGTTAATCTTTGAAGAATCTCTAGTGTAGTTTGAGTTTTGTGTGAAAAAATCGACATTATGTTGGTTCTTCGCTGACAAAAAAGGGAAACTATCATCTGACAGAAAAATTCGTTGTCGAGGTATGTCAACACGAAGTCAAAATCTTGGTCAAATGAATAATTCAACTTCTTCTGTCACAAAGAAAAAACAGAACAAAAAACCGTCAAAAAAATCGACGAATCATCATGTTGAGGAAACCTCGGATAGTGAAAGTGACGTATGCTATTCTGAGAAATCAGAATTTGAAAATGAAAGTTTTTCGGAGGAAGAATCAAATCTCGAATCAAATGGAGAGAAAGAAACGTCAATATGCATTGAAAAGTATTATGCAGCTATTTATGACACCTGGTATATTGGACGTATTTTAGAGATCCTCGAAAATGATACCTTTAGAATTAAGTTTTTGAAATCGGAGCTGGATATGTATACAGGCTGATCCACGGTGGATGGCCTATTAGAAGTATCTGGAGAACGAAAAGACAGAACATTCTGAAAATTGGGATGCTTTGATAATTGAACATTCTCTATCCGTCTAAAATATTTTCATCGATACAGTGTTGCCACTTCTATCAGAAACAACTAGCAACTTCGTTATTTTAAATAGACCATCCTGTATTTTATTGAATTTTTAGATTCTCCTTGAAAAGCTGATTTCATCAATGCATCACACTTAGGGTCTAGCAGGAATGATTCCAGAGATATAGGGTGTTCATAATCGAGATTTTTCAAATTCAGGATTTTTTTGTGTCGAGAGTATTCATTATTGATCAAAACGGTTTACATGTCCCTATCTTAACTTTCGATTCACTATCTACTGACATTTAATTGGAACAGATACAGGGTGATCAGAATTCTGAATCTTGGAGCACCCTGTATTTTTTCCAATCAAATTCCAGTAGATAGTCAATCAAAAGTTAAGGTAGGGACATGTAAGCCGTTTTGATCGATAATGAATAGTTTCGACAAAAAAAATCTTAAAATTGAAAAATCTCGATTTTGAACACCCTATGTCTCTGTAATGATTTGCTAGACCCCAAGTGTGATACATCGATGAAATCAGCTCTTTAAAAAGAATCTAAAAATGCAATAAAATACAGGGTGTTCCATTTGAAATAACAAAGTTGCTAGTTGTTTCTGATAGAACTGGCAACACTGTATCGATGAAAATATTTCAGATGGATAGAGAATGTTCAATTATCGAAGAATCGCAATTTTCAGAATGTTCTGTCTTTTCCTTCTCCAGATACTTCTAATAGGACATCCACCGTGGATCATCCTGTATATGGCCTAATAAGGAAGATATTCAAGTTGTAGAAAAAAAGTACATATTGTATGGGCCAATCGACTTAGTCGGTAATGGACCTTTCTGCCTTAAAAGAAATGATATAATGAATATTGAGAAAAAATACAAAGATTCAAAGAAACAGTCAATTCGCTAACATGAATGCCAGTATAATATGCTATGTTCACTTTGAGGTTCACTTTTATAAAATGAAAAACACCAGAGTTGAAAGAATAATAAAAATGTTTATATGAGACAAAATGGTTTTTCAATAATTCCAAATTTTCTTCAATTATGTTTATACTTTATTTGGTTGTATAATCTGTCATGCTTGAATAATTAGGTAGATGCTCTACAATTCCAAAGAATTACCTATGTGGTAATTGAATTAAATCACATGGGTGGCCAGGTAGCCAGGTGGCCAGGTAGCCGTGCGGACAGAGTGTCCATATTCTAATCCGCATTCGCTTGCCGGTCGTGGGTTCGAGTCCCGTCGACTGCAGAAATTTTTCTGATGGCCCAAGAAAGTGTTTGGGATCACACGTTAAAAGGTAAGGCCCCCGTCATTCCTTGCTCGCACAAGACTCTCGAAGACTTTTGAGGGTTGCTCGTAAGGGGGCAACCGAATGACGGATAGAACAATTTTAGAACAATTTTAGAACATATAAACTCTAATTTCAGAAATTTACCATTGCAATCAATCTAGCAAATGAACCCACAATCGCGGAAATCGTCTCGCAATCCTAAATATAATTTCACAATCCCATTGCAGCCTCTGCAATCACTCTGCAATCACTGAATTCAGTTCGCAATCCTCCGAAATCGCAACAAATAACAAAGAATTCTCTGAAATCGCTGAAATCATGGGATTTCCGCAATACGTGTACATATTTTTCAGAGGTGGTCTCCCCCTCGTTGAAAACCTTGCATTTTATTGCATTTCTAGATTCTTCCTGAAGACTTAATTTCATCAATGTATCACACTTGGGGTTTAGCGAAAATAATTACTGAGATATAGGGTGTTCAAAATCGAGATTTTTCAACTTTAGGATTTTTTGGGTCGAAGTTCCTATCCCAACTTTTGATTTACTATATCTACTGACATTTATTTGAAACAAATACAGAGTGGTTCAAGATTCATAATTCTGACC